CGTTTTTACTACATGTATATGAATATAAATACAGTACATACACCAAAATAACATATTTACAATGGCTGGACCGATTTTGACGGGACTTTTTTTGGACAGGTAGCTGATGTAATAAGGAGTAACTTAGGCTACTTTTATTTTATAAAATCTCTTTTAATTTAGAGAAATAAAGTTAAAATCCACCTGGACAAAGTCGCGGGAACTATAAGCTATTATTAAATATATTTGTATATATAGCGCTTTAAAAGAAAGGTATATAGGTACCTTTGTGGATTGAAATCGATATAGAGATCATATAAAAGTAAAGTTACTTACATGCCTAATATAGAGCGTGCTCTATTAGAAACATAAGTATGATCACTAAATAACCACTAAACAAGTAACGATTAACAGGTGATTTAGGTAGGTACCTGCATAAAAATATTACAATTTTTATCTAACAATATAGTGTTTATAATTAAATCGTTGACCATCATTACGTACAGATTACAACTACAGATACTTTGGTAGGTACCTACTTGGCTTTGGGTTCTGTGATAACAATATCGGCAATCTTTCAATGGACAATTTCAATTTTTTCACTACGTTTTGCTGTATTTTCTTTAATAGATAAAAATGTAATTATAATAGCAATACGTTGACTTCACCCAAGTAATGAAAATTTCATCAAAGACAAGTACCTAATTCCTGATTTTGAAATACAATAGCTATATATAGGGTCCACCTACTGTATTACGTAAGAGAAATTGTAATTGCCTTGTGTATACAAGTACAAGATTCAACCTACTCTCGAGCTATGCAGAGCTTGTGTTATAGCTGCTGGACAATTGATATAAATACGTAATCACGTCATGAGCTGTTTAGTAGCCATTTTTTTTTTGTAATCACGAACTTAATATACCTACATAGAAAACACTCAGATGGTCAAACAATCATACTCATACTATTTATACCTTGCAATCCAACCCGCGACCATCGGAAGTGAAGCTGTAAGCTAGACATCTAGATCATCGGAAATAAAGCGATGTGCTAAACATCTAGACTATCGAGGTCGTCAATTACAACTTCTTTGTATAAATTTAGTGTACCTAAATATAAAGTGAGTTTGTTTGTTCCTTACCATTGCCGAATTAACGACTCAGCCGATAGTCATTAAACGTGTACACATAGCACCTACTTATTCAAGATAGGCAAGAATATAGGCTGCTTTTTATTCAGGTCAATCAATATATCTCGTCAACATAGAAGAAGTCGCGAACAGAAGTTTGTCTTAATAAATACATTATAATAGGTAATACCTAAGTAGCATACACTATTTTTGATTCGAGTGTATGTATGTAGGTGTTATAGGTACCTTCAATTCTTATAACTCTACACTCACACAAGTAGTACCTCAGGCAGTGAGCGGCAGATATCACGGCCGCTCACTGCTAAGCATCATGCTAATATTATTCTTATATCGCATATTTTTCTAATGCACCAATGATAGATATATGTATATTTTTAGGTATAAGTCACTGTCTAATTGTAGACTAATTATTTCTAGAAATGTTTGCACAATAATTAGTGAAAGCATACGCATATTGTATATATTTATTTTTCGATGTAAATAAAATAATAATATTATTTATAAATAATACTAATATGTATATATGAATAAACCTCTTTAATACAGTAGGTATGTAAGCTATTTTGAATCTTGGAAAAATAATTCTGTTAAACATTTTCATTCCAATTGAGCCAACAGTGAATTGAGAAAAATATTCCTTTGAAAATGATAGCATTATCATGTATATATGTGTGTGTGTGTGGTGTCGCCTTAAGAATAGGACCACCCTCTCTCATCCCGTGGGTGTCGTAAAAGGCGACTAAGGGATTCATCGACCAGTGGACGGGCAGCAGCGTTCTACTGAGTAACTACCATCACACTGCGATCGCCAACCCGCATGCCAAGCGTGGCGATTATGGCAATATCCCCCGAAATGGATTTACACCCAAGGCTCCGGCCCCCAGTCCCCGGCGGCCCCGCTAGTCTTGACCATGGTAGCGGTCATGGAAACGGCGGGGCAGGGGGTGCGAAGAATCTCCGGGTAAGACCAGGCTACCACAAACGACAACCACAGGCCCTGGCAACATACAACGTTCAAACACTGCGGACCGACGAAAAGTTCCGAAAAGGCTTCAGTACCATAGACCACATTCATACGCTGCGGCAGGTAATTCAGAATACCGAAGAATACAACCTGCCACTTTGCTTGACGTTTGTGGACTATGAAAAATCCTTTGATTCGATCGAGACGTGGGCTGTGCTACAGTCTCTCCAGCGGTGCCAAATTGACTATCGATATATCGAAGCTTTGAAATGTTTGTATGAAAACGCCACTATGTCAGTTCGCCTCCACGACCAGAATTCGAAGCCTACCCAGCTGCAGCGAGGTGTCAGACAAGGCAATGTCATATCGCCAAAGCTGTTTACCGCTGCGTTGGAAGATGTTTTCAAGCTTCTGGACTGGAGCGGGCTGGGCATCAACATTAACGGCGAGTACATCAATCACCTTCGATTTGCCGACGATATCGCAGTCATGGCTGAGACCCTGGAAGACCTTAGCAAAATGCTCGAAGACCTTAGTAGTCTCACAAGGAGTAGGTCTTAAGATGAACATGCACAAGACGAAAATTATGTCAAACACCCATGTCGTACCTGCTCCCGTAAAAATTGGAGATTCTACACTCGAAATTGTTGATTACTACGTATACTTAGGGCAAACTATCCAGCTAGGTAGATCCAATTTCGAGAAAGAGGTCAATCGTCGAATCCAACTCGGATGGGCAGCGTTCGGGAATATCTTTTTGTCCGATATATCTTTTTGTCCAAATATCCGCATTGTCTCAAGACGAAAGTTTACGACGAATGTGTATTGCCAGTGATGACTTACGGCACAGAGACGTGGTCGCTAACTATGGGCCCCATGAACAAGCTCAGAGTCACTCAGAGGGCAATGAAGGGGGCTATGCTCGGAGTTACTCTGCGTGATCGAATCAGAAATGAGATCCGCAGAAGAACCAGTGTGACCGATATAGCCCGAAGAATTGCGACTCTGAAGTGGCAATGGGCAGGGCACATAGCTCGTAGGACAGATGGCCGTTGGGGCAGTAAAGTCCTCAAGTGGCGACCACGGACCGGAAGACGCAGCGTGGGAAGGCCTCCAGCAAGTTGGACCGACGATCTGGTCAAAATCGCTGGAAGGCATTGGATACGAGCAGCGCAGGACCGATCGTCGTGGAGATCTTTGGGGGAGGCCTATGTCCAGCAGTGGACGTCTTCCGGGCTGCGATGATGAGCATGTATATCTTCTTTGGCATTTATATTAATATTATTAGTTAAAAACGCTAAATTTGTTCCGAATCGTCAAGGATTTTGTACTTTACACTTAACAGTATCCATAATATCTACAATAGTAAAAATTACAGTGCAGATATTACAATATCTGCACTGTAATGTTTGACTTGCATAAGTGACTGCCTTATGTAATAAATAATTTTTGATTTTAATATGTAATAAAGGTCCGAAAAAAAACGGTAATAAGCACAATTTTTTATTCATAACATAATTTAAAATGTAAATCTTGTAAAATTCTTGATAAAATATTCAACAATTCTTATTAACATATATATCATTTAATTACAGTAGTAACTTACTTATAAATTTTCAATAAGTATATTTCTTATTTATAGATCTTAATTATAATTTATTTTCACTAATGGCATTCGACACTAGGAATAGATCTCATCAACTGGGTAATACTAGCTATATTTATTTATAATAACATATCCATTAACGATATTACATAGTTCATTAATAATAACGCTAAATAGCATATCGTAAACTTATTAAACATAACTCGTCAATATCATTTTGGCACAAATTACCAAATGATTGAATTAATATCTTGCAATAATAGTACCAAAACATAAATGATTCATAGTAAAACTGTCTATTTACTATTTTATATAGTTAAATGTAATTTTTTTAAATATTTGGATTGATTTAGTTTTAATGACAATCAACTATCTTCAACAAAAAAAGAGAAAACATTCATTTAATAGTCTTTTACCATATAATCTTATTAACTGTATGAATAAATTGACTTTTCCACCTTGCGATTTCTTCAGTTTACCGTGACCTTTACACAAATTTTATTATGATTATATAATAATGATCGTCTTAAACAAAAAGTGTTCATTATATAAACATATGATACTAGAAAATAACGTTAATATTTTATCAATGACGATGTTTATTTTCATTCGTATTTTAAAATACTGATGTTAGTATTAAGAGACAAAATAAAACTATTAAGCTTTGGAGTAGGTATATACCTACTCCAAAACTTTGGGTATTGTGTAAGTTTATAATTTCACATAGGAACCCAATTAAAACTTCTGATATTATAATAAGGATACACTTCGGGAACATTTTTCTTTCACGTGGCTACCAGGTGAATTTAATATTTTCCATACAAATATTTCAAGAATGATAACACGTTATATTATTGCCAAAACTTTTCTACCGAGCAGGTCAACATCATTTCTATACAATTTACCTTTCTACTAGGTACATATAAAGAGAATATTCCCTTTCTTATACATTATATATTCAGCCGAAAGACAAAATAGTCTACACATCAGAATATCACGTAGTTATAAAACGCACACGGTTGAAACCGCGGGCACAGCTAGTAAACAATAAAATAGATCTTTGTTATTTACATTTGGTGTCTCACGGTTGAATAATAGGTGTATAAGTAATAAATAAACACAAATTGACATTGTTAAATAACAATAAACACAATTTACTATAGGTGTTATGTACTAATAGAAGATACACCGCACCCTACCGAAGTCCTGCTACATTGCGGCGTAACATCGCAATTGACCCTGTAATTTTAGTAACCATTTTTAGCATATGCAGAGGAACTAATTTTTAGCTCAAGGGTGTTTCTTAAATACCATAATACTTATACCTCACAAACAAAGCATTATAGCGTATTATATTAATGGTAACAAAAGACACAGTAGGTATTAACCTAATTTATACAATGGAGACCAACGTAATAAAGTATGTTATGTAATACACTATGAAAATATTAAAATTACTTTAGCACCAATCAATATTTAATATTTGGTGGAATAACAGTGCACCTAATTTATACATGTATATACAGTTCCGGCACTTTAATTTGTTGAAAATAATTAGGCTATTTGACTAGTTCAATAATATTAAAATTCATTATCATTCAAGGTAATTTTTTAAATTCCTAGTTTCTTCCCGTCATTTTTGGCAAATTGTGTACAATATATTCCCCTATGTAGACCCGCACAATCAACGGGTGAGTTCTGGTCTAGTGATATATGCTTCCTACCTAGTTCAGTTGTTCCCTGGCTCATACAATCATAAATAGTTTATGAAAACTATTTAAGATCTCCATATGATTGTGGCTTAATAATTTTTATTACTATATAATGTTCCCAGTAATATCTAAAATACGTAATCGAAAATATTCGCAAAGGTGACATCTGTTCGAGATACCTGCATAGAAGTCAGGAATCTACGCTTCAATAAGGAGTTAAGCTCAGCTCGAGCCTCAATGCAGAAAAAGAAGCTGTATTATTCATCCCTTTACATATACAAATACTAATTTTTAATTGGTGCCAATTGAAATGCAAAGTGTGCGTTTAATTATTACCTAAAACACAGTCAAATAGCCCTTTGTATCTATAATTATAAAATGTAATGAAACATATTTAGTACAAAATACTTATAACTCGTATCTGGGACGTTATGTCACGTTGACCTGACCATAGTACGTATCTGACCTGCAAATTTTCTCCGAAAGGCTTATCCTCATACCAAGGACAGAGAAAATAATATAGGAGCAAAAATTCACACTATTAAAATTTTCTGATTTTCTGACTTCGATGAATGTTAGAAAGTTATTTTAATTTACATTTCAAAAAAGAATCAACATAGACTAATTGCGAGGATTAAATACATATAAAAAGTAAATCTATAATTAATTTAAAATTACATCATTATACAAATAAAATTATATCAACAAATGGAGCTTAGGATAAAACAATTATATAAATCAGAAGAATATACACATTTTATATTGAACATATGCTATGCTACATCCGCTATACTGTATCAGCAAAATCTGGTCTTATAAAACAATTATATTATTTTTATTACAATAATAATAGAAGTCTAAAATATAAAACTTTTATATATATTTGAATTTCAGTTCAATCAATGTCTTCTTTCATCATTTGATTTCAGCTTCACAAGGCACATCAAATAAGTCTCAACACTTTATATAGCTATATGAGCCCGGAGGTTCAACAAACAAAGAATGAAAGCTAAGGCACACTTCATATATAAGAAAAGAAATAAATATTAATTTCTTTGACCATGACTGGTCCACATATGTTCCTTGAATGTTTCCCGCATAGTAAAAGATCTTGGACAAAGGTAACAGCAGAGTCTATTGGTTAAATCTGAATGCATAAGCCTCACATGATACTTTAGTGCAGACTGATTTGAATATTTCATACCACAATGAGGGCAATCACCACAGATAGCAGCATGATTAGATTGTTGGTGGGATACTCCTTGCGATGTTGAAGCACTACTGCCCAATACAGGAACGTTCATACCTGCCAGCAACAATAGAGCCTGTGATTGGTCTTGACTATATGTACTTTCAGAATCTGTACCATCTTGGTGTTCTGATAATAATACTTCTGGCTCATATTCAATTTCAGATTTTGGAGATGGGTTTTCAGGCTTCACAACTGTTTCTTCAGATGATGGAGTTTTAAGTGGACTTTTGACAACATTGGTAAAGGTAACTGTATCTGTATTTAAATCCTTTGCTCTTATACTTGGTACATCCGGTATATTTGTCACTTTTTTTATTGTACTATTGGCACAGACTTCATTTTTAGATGGATTTATACCTAAAACAAATATACCTATATATATATATACAAAATAATCCATAATGCAATGTGACAGAATGAACTTTTTATTTTATTTTATTTAAATCCAAGAGATCATGGTTTGTATTTACAATCTATATGGCAATATTAGAGCTAATTATAAGTTTCAATTAATTAACATATAGTACTACTAGTAGTATATGTGCTTGCTAAATATGAAAAATATCAATTAATGAACTTTAATAGTAATTACTAGGAAGTTTGTTAGGACTTCATAAATTTCAAAGATAAATATCATAGATACTCAAGATTTGGCATGAAAAAATATAGACATATTGCTTTGTGCAGTGAATGAGAATGAAATGATGAGAATGTTTACACAAATGAATGACAATGTTTACATAAATGAATGAATCAGTTCCAATGAAACTTACCTGAGAGCAAAGACCTTGCTAGCATGCTATTTTCGTAATCTGGAAGACTATCATCATTTTCAGAATTATTTAAAGGACCAACAGAATTATTATCTTCAGAAAAATTATCAACCCGTTCAGTTTTAATAATAACAGGCATGTCTGCTTGTGTGTTCACCTGGAAAGAAAATACTTTATTACTGCTTGCACCAAAAGATTTATATATATAAATTTAACATCTGTTCTTACTGAACATATATAAAATTATTTGTACAAAATAAAAAATTGTTATAATTATATTAAAGTCACTGACTGGTTTATTAACATAGACTAAAAAAATAAACATAAAGATATAAAAAAAATAGAGATCTATGTTTACATATCTGTTTCTGTTTTAATTTACCTGGACAGATGTAGAACCTTTTCCATTAGTTGTTATGACTGTTTGTTCATTTTTTCCATCAATCTTTTTATCTACACTATTTTCAGATACAAAAGCTATATTATTGGTTTTAGGCAAATGTGAAAAACTATTTTTATTGTATATATCACATGTTTCCAAAAATTTGCCCTTCTTGTTACCAGTTTCTCCAATATTTACATCATTTGGCTTATCAGATGTACTACTTCGTCGTTTTTTCAATGCCGGTAGTTTTGTTTCTTTGTGACCAGAACCACATTGTGACTTAGCAGATATTGTAAGTTGTGTATAAAGTTTGTTTGATGTATTTGGTGAGGAAAAATTATCTTTCTGAAAGTAAGATATAAAAATTTTTGAAGTATAATTTTATATTCCATATATTCTATATAATGTCTCATGGCTTTTCTATTAATTATGAAAGATACAAGCAAAAATTTTCTACATTTCAGTTTTGTAAAAAATTACAAAACCTTTTTTATTATATTAAAATTAAAGGAGGTCTCAGCATATACCACAGATGGTCGCCAAATTGATGGGTGCAGTAAAAGTTTGTTGAAAAACTTATAAGTACTTTACATTATACATTAAAATGTCATTATTCCATAAAAACTATTAGTTTGATGTATATAACAAACTAATAGTTTTTATTGGTATGTAGGCAGGAACACAATAATAAGCATTATTTAACTTCTATTCATATTTGTAAATCTGCTCAATATTTTTGTGTCTTATATTTTTTTACCTGTGGTATATTTTTTAATCTCTATCAGTACAGATGTATTGTAATGTTGCTACAATACATCTTATAGAGGTAAAAAAATGCACAGTCAAAAAGTAGAGTAGAACTAGATGGTAAATAAAACAATTGAAGGTAATAAATAACAATATCTACCTGTTGTGTTACACCTGTGAGGCCTTTGACCTGTAGTAATGCTGCTGTGTGCAAAAATGATGACAATTTACTCTCTTCAATAAATACTTGGCCCTGGTACATATAGGACAACAAACTTACTATATCGTCAGCAGATACATCCTTCAAAATTATAACTGGATGTTGACATGGGTTTTCCTAAAAAATAATGTTTTACATTTAAATAATTGGAATGGCAAAGAAACTGACAACCTGATTGTTAATGGTAACCTTTGGCTATATAAATTGACAGCACTAAAGACACATTATCATATGACACAATTCATGTATTGCTATTCCAGAGAATTAAGATGTTATCCCTCTTGTACCGCAATTTCACTGCATTATTTCATGCTGCCAAAAAACCATAGTTTACAAAGGAAGATATTTAGTGCCTTCAATAGGTGACACTAACGTTTCCAGGTAGACAACTTTTTACAAGGTCTATTAAAAGAAATTGAAAGTCAGAATATGTTACAGAGACCTTTTCTTGCAACTGAGACAGAAAAACCAAACATCTAAAACTAAAATACTTATTAAATAAGTGATTTTAGCATTAGGTAGCACAAATACGAAGGCTATTAATGTCCCCAGTCATTCACCTTGAACACATTCCTGAAGTACGGGCTGCACGCGGACAGTATGACTTTATGGGCCTTGATGTTTCTGCCCTCACAAGTGAGCGTAACGTCAACCAAATCCTCCGAACATTTCAGTGAATCTAAAGCACTAACTATATTAGTTTGGAAATTGTTCCAGCGTAAACAAAACTGATCTGCCATTACTGTGTTATTAACTGAAAAACCTGTAAAAATAAATAAATTAGCTATCACAATTTCTGACTAGCAAAGAATAAACTGAAATAACACGACATTTTTAATTAAATAGTAATCACCTGTACTACCGTATGCATCACATTAATAAATAACATTTGACTTTTATCAATTATTGTGCATTTAAATTAGTATTTGTTAGAAAAATGCATAAAAATGCAATGCATCATGACCTCCATTGACACTTTCTTTCACTTTATGAATGTGTGCGTGTATGTTGAAGTGTTGCCTACTTTATAATTATAAAGAAGATATTATATTATCATGTTCATTGAATTCAAACTAAATCCACATCTTTAAAGATGTAAGTAAAAAACTAGAAATAAATGCGTAAGAATTAACAAATTCTACACTTATTTTTTCGAGAACAAGTTGGATGCTTGTAGTTACCATTCCGTTTCTATTCCCCTTTTTGATAATAATCATCAGAAGCGTGACGGGCAGTAAAAGAATTTGTTTTTATATTGTTTCAGAATATTAAAATGACTTATAAATTATACTGGATTGATTTGCTTTAGTCTCAGTATATATATTTTTTATTTTTTTACATATAGCTTATCCATATTTACTTATTGTTTTTGAAAATAAATGGTGTTCGTTAAATACGCAGTCATATAGTGGACTGTAATATTATATTGTGAGCAAGAAATTTATCTTTTGGAACACCCTCACCTTGACATTGGATGACTGCTAGTTCGACTTTAACCAGGCTTCCTAAAACTTTGGGCTTCACCTAAATTATCGTTTGAAAGGGGTAGTAATCGTGCCAAATTTATTGCGCTTCTTTTATATTATTTAAAAAGTGGCTCTGTTGCCAACTCACATACTAAAAATTACCTACGAGAATAAACACATATTACTAATGTGACAATGTTGCATTCACTACGAAACGAAATTTAATTAAATTTTATATGATGAGGACGACCATAAGTAATCTTTTACATATAAAAGCTGGTAAGAGCTACTAGTCAGTCTACTGATATTTTTTTAATTTCTATATACTAAGATGGTACATGTTACGGATTATTGACAATTATCGTAAATATAAATATAAAAATGTAGATTTTTGGTAATGTAATGTCCCCTATGTCTGTGTCTATAATGCTTTTTGGTTTTTTTTTTGTTCTGTTTCTGCTTTAACAGAAAGGCAAAGGGAACTGCACCCATACAGCCATTTCTAGTATTGAATATATAGAATGACATTTAAGTTTGACTTTTCTAGATTTCTCGATTTTGTTGTTTGTTGTCATGGTATTGCGGTGACTTTGTTCATTTAGTTTTATCTACTTTTGTCTCAAAATTAGAGTTTACTGTCGTATTAGAAATATCCCAGTTATACTAAATCTAAGAACTATAATGGCAAACGATCCAGAAAGATTTGATACAATGCTTCTTGCTATGGCACAGCAGCATGAAGGCGGCGTAAAAGATGTAAGTATAATATCAAATTATTTAAGAAATTTATTATTGTAAAAACTATTTTTGATGTCATATTCTGTTTAAGAAATTTGTCTTTCTAATTGGCAATATTTTAAATTCGCTTAAAAACAAACAATCCCGTACTTACCTTACATGTGACTGTAATACTCCTTTGTTTCTAGTAAAAAATCTTACCTTATTCTTATATTTTTAACGTATTTTTATGCCAATACTAATAAATTAACAATAATAACATCAAGTTTATAGGTAGTAACTGTAATGAGTACCTAAAAAATGAATGTACTTATTTAATTTTTCTAACCTAATTTTCAGAAACTATAAATTGTGTGGTTATGTAGAGTTAACTAAAGCCTAGATGGGGTAGGTAGAACAGAAAATATATATATACTAGCTTTTGCCCGCGGATTCGCTCGCGTTAATTTATCCCCTTAGGGTTGGAATTTATCAAAATCCTTTCTTAGGGGATGCTTACGTCATAGTAGCTTTATGCATGGAAAGTCTCAGCCCAATCAGTTTAAAATTAACAAAGTTTCATACAAACTTTCATCCCGTATTTTATCCCCTTGGGGGTAGAATTAATAAAAATCCTTTCTTAATGGATGCCTACGTCATAACATCTACCTGCATGCCAAATTTCAGTGTGATCTGTCCAGTGGATTGGGCTGTGCGTTGATAGGTCACTATGTCAGTTACCTTTGAGTTATGTATATTTAGATTGTTGTAAATGCAACACATGTTGTGCTCACATTTCGCTGTATAGATATATGAACCCAACATGGTGGGACACAAGGCGACCATATCACCTCTACATTTCATTGGGGTTAATTTTAATGAATTAAATGGTGCACCTGTCTGTAGGATGATAAAATGAGCATGAGGTCAGACCAGGTAGCCCATGATGGCAAATACACTAAGAAATTATAACAATAGTTTCTAGGGGAACCATGTGGATGTCAACCTGACATGGTATGGTAGATTCCTATCGGGCTATATAGTCTATATTAGTAACAGTCTTTCCACCAGAAATGTGGATTGAGACTGGGTTTTTAGTGTTACCTAGATAAGAAATTCAGGTCCAGGATAGTAATCTACTATGATGGTTCTGTGCATGCTAATAATGATGAGGAAGTGTCTATCTGTTTGCTTGTTTGTTACTCTTTTATAACTAAATGGCTTGATGGATTTTAATAGAATTTGAGATATTGTTTAACAAGAATGAACATGGTTATCTTTAATACAAAACAAGGCAGATAATTTTTATGTAGTCACAGGTAAAAGCTAATTTATGAGATACTACAAAATAAATAACTGTGGACAATCCATACAGCACCATATAGTCTCAAGCTAAACAGAGCTTGTTATAGTATATTTTTTTTTATATTTTATCAGATGTCCGCTACTGATTGAAATATTTAAATATATATTTTGTTTTAAATTCACACAATATATATATATAGAAAAGACCCAGACTGGTTTATGAACTTGAACTCATGAATATAAATATTTGCACCATGTGGTGAATCCAACTTATGGTCATCAGAAGTTAAGTACTATGTTAAATTGCCAGACCAATGTGGCCATATTAAACCATATTTTTTAATTTAGCACTAATGTAATCATAACTTTTACAGAGTAAACTTAAAGAAAATTGTATTCCTATTATTTTCAACTATATATATATCCTTATTGTTTTCTAGCTCTTGAAAACTATAGTTGGATTTCTTGCAAGAAAAACAGACTTTTTCACTGGCGGCAAAGAAGGTAACTGGGAACAAGTAAGTGCATTCATGTGACTGATGATTTCATTTAAATAACAATTTACTTAATATTATTAGACCATTCCTAGTTATGTCTGTTCATATATAATAACTACTACTATAATAATACCATATAATTTTTATTTTATTATTCTTGAAATATTATAGTTTTAAAACATGAATGAATTCAAAATAATGACTCTTGACTGGATCACTCATACACTGTCTTGCGTTCCCAAAATTAGTTAAAGCAGTTACCTAGGTAATTATATAGCTAGTCTTACAAACCACAGAAGGAGTTCTTCTTTTGTAGCATACTCAATCACTTAATTCAATTCTTAATAACTGGTTTTCTAAATTGGCTTGACCAAGTTTAAAGTAAACTACGTACATGAAACAGTGCACCTCTTCTGAACCATAGAGAATGTTATATGCTTAAAACGGTTTTTATTGACTTCTTACAGGTTGTTAAAGACACATTCTATGAACATGCAAAGAAGGCGCGTGATGAAGCAAATAAAATAAGGAAAGAGAAGGAAGAAGCTGAAAAGAGACTCAAAGATATCCAACAAAAAAAAGAACAGGAAAGGCGTCAACAAGACTTTGAAGCTGCTACTGTTACTGAAATCTCTGACCAAGAAGCTATCAAATTGCAGGAAGATATTGAAAAAGACAAAAAGCAAAGTAAGTACAGTAACAAAGACCAACTCTTTGAATATGTTGATAATTTCTAACTCATATAAAATAAGGTGAAAATAAGCAAGAATTGCTGCTTCTTGATTAGAATTTAAATACTCTATCTAAACTTAGGGTGAATAATCCGCCGCAAAAATATTGTCTTTGACTCGGAGAGTTCACGAGACTTGGTTGATGATTGATGTTAAACACAATTTTGTGTTGTTTTTATAGACGCTGAACTGGGTAGCGGCGATGATGGAGAAGCACAGGCAGCCGATTCACCGGAAGATGACGATCCTAAAGAAAAAGGCAAGTTGAAGCCAAACTCTGGAAATGGATGTGACCTTGAAAATTATAGATGGACCCAAACTCTAGAAGAAGTTGAGGTATGTGATATTGCTACATTCATAAACATGTACATGGGTGTTTAATGTTAGAATAAAACACCAAAAAATATCTTTATTTATCTAACAGCAATCTGAAGGATAGAATTTAAATAGTTTTGAAAGTTAAATAGATGTCATAATTATCCAATGATCTCTTTATTTTATTATTTCTTAAATTAATATTTAACATATATACGATGGATTTGCATTTCTGACGTAATAAAGCACATTTAAGTTTTAATAGGCAGTATGTATGAATATAATTGGACATCTCTTGATTAAATTACTACACAATCGCCTTCAAAAAGCCTTTTTGCAGAAAGTGTATTTTTTTTGTAAAACATTCTTTAATATAGTAGAGCATTCTTTAATAATTATTAGGTTATATGGACAACTTCCAATACATTTGAAGTAATGTCGCAACAAACTTTAGTTTAGTTTAGTACTAGGCAAATTTTAGTTACAGTTATAGAGTTTTAAATGATTCATCATGATTATCATTCATATCAACACGTAAACATCTCATTGCCGGGTAGGCAATTTGCTTCATAAAGGAATGATTTGACCTTAGTGTTCTCTCGTAAGTATGTATGGTGTCGAATTTTTGATAACAAATAGTTTTTACTTTGTTCTCCCTGTCACATGCTTGGAATGAAAAGTTACGCTGTGGAAGTAGTTACAGATTTGCAGTTTTAGCACCTTACTTTGTGATTGTTTTACGGAACATTTTGAAATAAAATTATTTATTGCATATATGTAATTTATTCAATTTATAAATTATCACAGTTCTTCTTTAACAAACATACTTAGTTAAACTTTATTGTATTCATTCACTGTAATTAAAATATAAATACAATTAAAATAAAGTACAATAATCTCCATGATCCATTAGAGAGTATACTGTGCATATTACTAATAATATGCTATTCGTCATCCATGATCATTACTATTAATACTCGCCAATGGATCGCTTCTATACTACATATTGTGAAATTTGCAAATTTTCATGTTATAGACAAAAATGTGCAACTTTTTCACATATTTCAATTTAATTAAATTACTAATAAATGTTGGGTCATTTGATTAAAATTATTTAATCGACGATATGTCTTTTAGAAGACAATTGTATAGAATTATATCTATACAATTTTATATTTCAGAAAAACAATAACAAATATTTTATTTAAATTATAGTTTTTCTACTTAAATATCAAAATATTGGTAAAAATATATTTTGGATTATTGTCGATGTACAGAATTTTTCTTCTATTTGCGTATTCGTTTTCTCTTCTTCCGTGAACGAATTTTTTTGAATTAAAAAAATATAAAATGCTATTGTATGATATTTTCAATTGTATACAATATTTTTTCTAATAATTTCGATAACGTAACTCATATAGATATATGAGTTTCACAATTGAATTGGATTTCACACTGCACTTCACGACAGAACCATAGATAATGCATAGTGAGTCATTGTGAACTACTGTTTAATTTCATACGTATATTAAAACAAAAGCAGTAAATAAATAGTTAAATACTTATCTAGTCTAAACAAAGAACAATGGTAGATTCCTATCATTCAATTAGTTGAAAACAAATTTTTATATTAATCTGCCAAAAATACCAATAAACTTCAGACCTACAAAATAATATTATAAAAATAAATATATTTTTAGAGTTTGTTATAATTTTATTAATATAATTTTTGCCTCATCTGTGAGTGTCTAATGATATTTTAAGGTCCCTGAAACAAATATTAAAAATGTCGATTGTTGATTTTTTTCCATATTAAAGAGCATCAATCTATTAGTAACAGTTATTTTTTATCTAAAATAAAAAGTGAACAAAATATCTTTAAAAAAGAAACTATATCATTTGATGTGACATCTGACATTTGTCGCCTATTACAGATTATATTACGAAAATATCACATTTCGATATATAAAAGAAACTATGTTGTTGCTATTCTAAAATAAAAAATTTTGAAATTATTATTTTTTCAGCCTAGTTAAAAGTACTACTAATACTGCTGGAGCGAAAAAAGTTATTACTTTATTTTCCGTGTATTTTTCATTTAAAGACGCTCTCTTTTAACGCAAATAAGATTTTACCATTGTTCTTTATGTACTTAATTGTAAAATACTTATTTGTTTTCTATAATAATAGATTCAACTGGGTTTATTGCACTAATTATGTACATTACGAGGATATAGATTCGTGTATGTGTAACAAATACATACAACTGCCGAATAAATACCACAAAATTGACCGCTAAACGTCGATATAAATACATATAATAATTTATTACTGAAATTTGGTAGTGATACAAATTTAACCATCAATAAGCAATAAAAAAAATTAAATAACCTAAGTGAAACAGCAAATACAAGTATACTTTTTTTTAACTGAAAATGTATAACAAATTGTGCAAAGTTAATTAAGAGAATTGGCTGAGTGACTGATCAGACTCAGTCAGGTCTACTCTGTAGTCTAATTTAAATATAGATTTTATGTCAAGCCATTTTTAAAAAGCAAAATAAGTAGGATATGCTGTATTATAATGCCATTGGATCAGAATTAGCTTCCTTAGTTAGTAAACTAGCTGATCTGTAGGCCGCCTTTTACAACAGTAATAATTAATAATATCAAAAAAATCTGCGAAATTAACAATAAATAAAAACAAATACATTTGAAAGTTTAGATTACTTAAACTTAATCGTACTTACTCTTACGCAATTGACTTACGATAAATTTGAAATTAAATAAAATTACTGCAATAGTGTTTGCATTTAAAAAATACCTTTTTACATTATGTTTTACCAATATATAGGCGGCTATAGACCTTGTAGTAATTTACATATGTTAAATTTGAATACTCGTGTATTTAAATTAATCTTTACTTTGTATGATCAAATATTTTTCTGGTATTTATTTATCAGAATATACATTTATTAACTACATAATTTACACATAAAAATTGATCTAGTTTGTTTGTTAACACACACCGAACCACGATTTTAAAACATTTACTAGTTTACTACAACTACTAGATTATGTTTTCAATGCACGTTATACATAATATTGAACGTAAACAATACATTTAGTCACCTTTGTATCTTCCTTTAATTAAGAATATTTGTATATTCCAGTCTCCTTACGCATTCGCACTGTAATGAAAAATAAAGTTATTAGTAAAGAATTAAATATCTAATTTACTTCGATAATTAAAATAACTTTACTATTTCTTTAACAGAGCTGTATTATAAATTTGCCTTTGGTCAAACTTAATTCTTACTGTTGTCGTGTGGCCTAAAGTGAGGAGGAATTTGACAGCATCCTATTTATTAAAAGTTCTTTGTTATTTTGGAAAATATACTTGAAATAGATTTATATGTATATCGAATGCTCTTTTCATTAGCAGTCGGGTGCAAGGAGGTAGAAATTATCAGGTTTATTAATTGATATCTATATTAATGATGAATTTGAACTTACTTTCAACAAAACATATGGCCGCTAGAATGCACGCGGAGAATAAAATCGTCATCGATATAACGAGAACTGTTATCTGGTGTGAATGATCGCAGCAGCAGGACTTTGGCTCCTTGCCTGGACGCTGCTTTGTGAACCCATTCACCACTGTAAAGTGTGTAGAACTCGCTACTGATGCTGCGTCCTGTCCATTCCCTGATCCGCGCTTAACACCTGTCCAGTATGAATCAGCCTGGTCACGCTCCTCTGGAATTGTTACAACGGCTGGCGAGCGATCAGTTTTACATATGTAGTTACTTAGTTTTGAATTGTAGCATCCATATTCTTCTTGTATAGAATTTCCTTGCATCCGCGCTAAATATGCGGCATTGAGTAGGAACGACCCAGATGATACACTCTGCAAAAGTAAAAATAAGTTTGTAGGTTTTTTAATAATATAATAAAAAGAGCTTGTACTTGAGCTTACCCATAAAGGGTACTTTTTATTGATTGCTAATTTTGTACAAAATCTGCCAACGCAATAGACGAAGATACAAGAAGAAATACAAGAGTATAGACTTATAGAACAATTAAAAAATAATATCTATCGTGTATCTTCTCTAAAACGTGGGATGTAAAAATGAAGTTTAATAAACTCTTCTTGTTATAAAATGCTTGTTCGTGCATAATAAAAAATATGGTATTACTAATTGAACAGGATTTAATGTCTGGCATCTCAATATCAATCGTTTGTTGACCCTGTTCATTAACAGAAACACTTAATTGTAAAATGTAAAAAAGTGTTTTTTGTTAATTTACCAAGTCAAGTAATGAAAAAGTTTGATGGCTGGGCGGAGCTGAGTTTTTGTGGGAAAATTATATGAAATTGCTTGTAATGATGTTTGTAGTGATTTGTTGAAATAAATGACTAACATGTGTACTGTGATTGCTTGATGAACCTTGGCTGGATGCAGAGCCTCCGCGGGAGCGTGAGTCGCTTATACTGCTGCCGGTTGCACTACTGCCAGACAAAGATGGGCGCGGTATGTGCCACTCGTTCGTTGAGATCTGAAACGAATAACCGAAGTACTTTAAAATTTTAAATTACATCCATATTACGTCCATAATTATTTTCTGTTTTCTGTAAATACATAGATATTCCTTTTTTTTCGGGATATATTATACATCTGTATCTATATATCAAATATTATATTTGATGAGGTTACTCTCAACTCTCTGATTATTCTTTGTACGTCAGGCTGTGTCACTTTCATTAAATTCAATACAGTTACTGTCAATATAGTTATAACAACAGAACATACACAGTTAACCAACTCCGTATATTTTTTTACTCTTATATGAGAAATAGTTTAAGTATATTAGCAATCCTTCCAAGATTGGTCTATAGAGACTATACACTACATTTTCTTCTATTTGTACACAGTAAACAGAGCTATTGTTATTGATTTTCGCACAAAAACAACGATGTGAGTCGTTATGCAAGTATAAAATTGAGTACGGAAATCATGCACAGCTTCCCGTTGCTAGTCTATTCCACAGTTTATTTCATTAGTGTCATGATATGGACTCCTTTCATTTTCTATAAATAATATTTACATAACTATGCACGACTTACGTATTATGTTACTAAATCTGTTATTATTGTAGCGTGTCTACAGTGACAAACTCCGATATAACAAATGACCGAATAAGCAATGGGCAATCATTGCTTAGTTGGCAAATGAAATAATTAATTTAACGTTCGGAATGATTGATAATTTCATTTTTCCTTTGTTAGATTTTGTCACTATGTGCATGATTTTAACATATACGTTTGAAGGTCACAGACTATTTTTAGTGTTCATATTTTTAGTTTTACAATAATTTTTAATAAATAACTAATTATCCCTCTTATAGATGCTAAATAAATTTATTCGATCGCTAATTAATAAGTAGTCAGCAAATAATTTAATATTAAATGTCAAATTAGTCATTGATATAAATTATTTTTCGACTTTATGATGCACAAAAATATCACCCTCCGGAAGTCCGAAACAAGTTGTATTTCCGGATTTCAAATCCGGTAAATATCTGAAATCACTACAGCAGACTACACTTCTATTTTGCATTTACATACAAAATAGAAGACGTTTCTCTTTTCGACTTTTTTTTTCCCCCACATGTTTACTATAAATAATAGGTATACACTTACAAATAATATTAATAAAAAAATTAGGATTAATTATTAGCTCGGCAGTGGCAGGGGTTTAGCACATTGTCTTATTTCTGATAATCGCGGGTTCAATTCGTTGCTCGATACAATCATTTAAAACATGTGTATTATTCTTTGTAGTGGTCTGGGTTTTTACTATGTACTATGTTTCTAACATTCCTTTAGTAACCCTAACACAAGCTTCGCTTAGCTTGGGACTAGATGGCGCTGTGTGAATTGTCATGGTTTATATAATTATTATTATATATGTTTGGTACCCTTGATGTGTGAGTCCGACTCGACAGGAATACCAGAGATCAATTTCATCAATTGTATTTTAGGTCAAGTTTCGTTTGGAGTCCGATTGATTTTGTCAGATACGGTGTTCAAGGTTCGTGTGTCTTTATTTGCGGTCTTATTTCGTCGGCCTCTGACGCAATATAACTTAGCTCTCGGCTTCATGGTCCTCTTTGTTATTTTGATAACATGATGGATAGACGTTTTAGGTTGTATCATAATGCATTTCTTTTATAATTAATGCAAGGCCGTGTCGGTTTGTTTCAGCATTAAGCCTTTGTTCTATTCTTGTTCTATGCGAATTATTGATCGTACGTCTAATAAAAATGCCAAGTGTATTAGAGATTCATTATTTTATCTAAGAAACTATAATATTGGATCAAGTAAATTGTTAACTTCGCTACAATGTTGATAGTCGACAATAATAAGAATGGTGACTGACTGCCCTATCTGGGATTAGAGTCCTGTAAAATATAATATTTTATTGTTGAACTAGCTACTCGCCCCGGCTTTGCACGGGTGTACATGTATTATATATATAAACCTTCCTCTTGAATCACTCTATCTATTTAAAAAAACCGCATCAAAATCCGTTGCGTAATTTTAAAGATTTAAGCATACATAGGGACGGACAGACAGCGAGAGCGACTTTGTTTTATACTTTGTAATGATAAGGTATACTTATATCAACATTTTACTACAAACAATAAAGGATTTTTACAACAATTTATTTCAATTCTGGATCCCTGATGTTGTACATAGGTAAATTATGTAGGTACATACTATGTTAAAAATATTAATGTTTTATAGAGATGAGTCTGATGGCCAAAACGATGTAACTTATTTTAAAGTTAATCGCATAATTGCATGAGCGATCTAATGTTAGTCTTAGATCGCTTATTTTTTAGCCTTGGCATAGTAAAAATATTATTATTTATACAGAGAAATAGAAATTAGTCTTCTACAAAAAACATTTTAATAAATACAGTAAAATTAAGTCAAAAAACAGTAACCGACAGTAACAACAATAAATGAATACCATAAGTGTCACATAATGCGTGCATGTTACTGAATTCTGTTTACTGCAGCAATGGAAATAGGCCGACCTGCTCAGTGTCATATTTTCCCAAGGAGCAAACACAGATTTCCAGCTATAACCTACAGTAGGTATGAGTGCGCAATAGCTTTAATATAGTACAAGAATTATGTGTTTATAATATGTGCAACAATAATAAGAACTATACAATAAAAAAGTAAATAAATGTGTAATGTTATGTTGTTGTATTTTACGTATATATTTGGATTTTTTATGACTACGAAACAGAAAGGATTTTAATTAAATAGATAATAGAAATAAAACCTTATAACCATTTATTAAAAAATAATTAATTGTATGCCATTACGATAGGTAGGTCGCCACATAAAATATTTGCTAAAATTACCGACGAATTTTTTGGTGGATTACGTTGAAGTAATATCGCAAAGCAATATTCCCATAACGTACGCTACGTTGCAATTAGTATGTATCTAATTAAGTACATGGTGTGAGAAATAATTCAATTTGTGATAAGAAGTAAGTCCGCCTTTTATAAGTAGATCACAGTAAGTATACCAAGTGGGAATTCGGTCGAAATATTCAGGTTTTATTGTTACAGCGATGTAGAAACAACCGTACCTACACATTGCTAACTATTAGGCAATCGGCAGTTATTTTACTTTGCGTAGTAAAAGTTATGTTTATAATGTTTTATTAAGTCCACCAAGGCTGGGAACTGGCGTCTCTTACAAGTTCATCCAAGACCCTCGTTATGAACATTGTGATATTATTTAACTTCAGAGCAACATTATAATGTTCATTCGTTATTACGCTACATTATTTGGTTATAGGTATTAATACTATAGTATAGGTTATTATACTATTGGTTGTCAAGAGGGGAGGGGTTGTGAGTAATGGGAAATGGGAATGGTCCCCTTGCTGGTCTTCTCTGGAAACCGTAACGGTTAGTTCTTGATAAATTCATCAGGATTGGTTAATTGCTCTGTGTATTCTGCTAGCATATGTTTGTTACATTATAGTCATAGCTAAATAAATCCATCTTCATATACAAAGAAATCTATAATATCTATAAACAATACATATATTTTATATCTACCTATTTGTAATTACTATATTTGAATTTTGGATCCTAAAATATAGTAGAAACTTAAACTATATCATTAACTTATACAAAATATCCTTAAAAACGAACGTCCTTAAAAATCATCAATAGTCTCATATTGATGTTGTATGGTGTATATTTTATAGTCTAGTCTTCCTCTATGTTTATTTACTAGCCATTCCACTTACAGCAGAATAGAATATACCAGCACATGTTTGATTTGCATGTAGCTCTTTTATGGCACGTGTATACTACATACACGGCACGGATGTGTCATGTGTGCCCACATGATTCAGTATTTAATTGATATCAGCACGTGGTGGTAACACGTTTAAGTGCCCCATGAGACCTAATAGGTATTTTATTTGAAACTAGAAACTTATGAATACAAACAAACATGACTGCATATACTGCGATGAGCACGTGCGCCACCTTAATCATTTTCCTTTGTTCAATAAATTATAAAAAATGTTTTACCTCATTATTCTTGATAATTTGTGTGTGATAAGTGCAGTCTAACCTCTGCGCAACGCGTTCTTTAGATATAGAACATAAACATATTTTAATTTACTTAAAGAATCGGTTTAAGTTATTAATTAATGTATTTATACACAAGTAATCTAAATGGTACCTAGTATAAATACTACAGATTAATTATGTCTGTATATGGCGAAAAGAGCACTTGTATTTTATCCATACGCTGTTATATGACTCGATGTGGTGACATTTTTGCAACAAGGGGTGCAGTCTGAAAACAATATACTTATTTCGTTCACATTTCTCTTATACACTAAATGGGTATAATAATACGTCCTTGTAACTTCAAAAGTAGTCTGTGTAATCTCTACTTAAAGATATTATGGGTTTAATAACAATTTAACATACATATGTATATGTACCCTTCTGTACTATGGGTTATGACGAATACGCCTATTATGTTCCCGCCATTTTACAATGCAACAACAACAACATTAATTATGCCAAAAACAATATACCTATAACCTATACTATAATTATATTTTTCATACCAATCTATTTATCAAGTCAAGTTCAAGAAAGGGATACTGGTACGTTTTTTGATTATAGGTACGTCAATTTTGGAGAATTTTAATATCATCCTCATATAGTACACGTTCTGTCTGATGATGATAGATCAGTATGTCCAAAATATCTTGATTTTCGCAATATACCTATAAACTGCTTTGTCACCCCGTTCCACATCCCCATGAAAACATAGTACGTCTTATTGAATTTTGACGGCATTTACTTTGAAGTGTTGAAATCTATACTTTCCGTTATTTTGATCGTCAAATGTAAGCGTTTTCTCATGTAATCATATTTCAAAAGAGTGTAACAGAGTTCGCAGATCCATTTACAGCATTACATTATCAGCACAAATT